CGGCTCTCTTGCAAGTACATCTGGCATAAGGCACAAACCCCCAAACTCCGAGTCTTCCAATGGAGAGCTTTCATGAACTGCCTTCCTTTCCCGGAGTTAACCAAGTGCTTCAGCTCAAGTTTCCCCAGCCAATGTCCTCTTTGCAAGCAGGCAGAAGACTCCCTAGACCATACTCTTGGAAATTGCAAATTTGGCCACCAGGTTTGGAGGTACTTTGGCACTCTCATTGATGCACCCTTCACAGCGCCCAACCTCAAAGTTCACCAAATCTTCATCAGTTGGTGGTTCTCCGGTGATACGTTCTCCTTCAAAGGTGTTCTGCGAATCATTTTGCCCGGTGTCATTGCTTGGCACCTCTGGAAGGCAAGAAACTTAGCAAATCATGAAGGCCAAATCCACACAACGGAAAGTATCATCCAACAGTGCTTTAAACATATTCAAGCATGGAGTTGGGCTTCAAGACGCAAAAAGTGGTTGATCCATGATAACACCTTCAGGGGTTGGGGTTTAGATTTATTCTGGATAAATGGTAACAAACTTTTGAATGTGGTGTAGTTAGGCACTTAGGCCTTCTCTTTCTTGTATCTCCTCATTTTTTTTTCTATCTTAATGAAACCCCCTTTTAATATATATATATATATATATCTGTATGTATGTATGTATGTATGTATGTATGTATGTATGTATATGTATATATATACATACACACACACACACACACATATATATGTATATATATATATGTATACGAAAAAAGCTCTCTCTCTCTACAATCTCTCTCTAAACTCTCTCTCGTGCATGTCCACCGCGTTAGGCGCGGCGGCCATTGGGTCGTCGTCCACAGCTACGGCTACTACTCCTCCATCGTCTTCTGTCACAACTCCTGCCACCAAAAGCTTCAAGGAAGCTGTTTGCCCTTCTTCACCTCAAATTCATACCAAGCAGATTGAAAAATTCAAAGGCTTGCCTTGCATTTCCTTCTCTAATGAAGAAGTCCTTTCCCTGGCTTCCAGGTTTAAATTTGCCCTGGTGGGCAGCTTCTTTGGGAAAAGGCCACCCCTGGAGATCATCAGGAAATGGTTGGAAAAAATAGGCTTTGTGGGTTTTTCTGTTGGGCTCCTCCACCCTGCTCATGTCCTCATCAACTTCTCGTTTGAAAAGGATTACCAAAGATTATTCTTGCGCAAAGATTGGAATGTCCAAGGAGCAACCATGAACATCACCAAATGGACCACTGATTTTGACCCCAATAAGGTAACTCCTATCATTTCTGTCTGGATTTCCATTGCAAACCTGCCCATTCACCTTCATGATCATAGAGCACTGATGGCTATTGCAAATATCTTTGGAAAACCTATTAAACTGGACTCATCTACAGAAAACTTCATTAGGCCTTCAGTGGCCAGATTCTGTGTTGAAATGAACCTTTCCAGCCTCCCTCAGAATTCCTTCTATGTTAAAAATGGAGATACTCCCTTACTTCTGCAAGCAGAATTCGAAAACCTCCCTGATTTCTGTAAAATCTGCAAAGGGATTAACAGACATTCAGCTTCCTGCAAGCACTTCTCTCCTCCAATGGCTAAGATTCCCCTGCCAAACAGCAACCAAACACCCTCTCCCAGTCAACAATCCCATCACAGTGATACTTCCTCTAAACAGCTACAAACCAATCCCTCCAAGCCGCTACCACCCAAAAAGCCCACTGTCCCTACCCCCTCCACTAAACCACAGGCCAACAGGCCTGTCAGTACCAACAACAACAACCTGACAAATACCACCTCAACACCTAATTCTGCAGCCCTCCCAGTGCCTACTTCTCATATGCCTTCTTCTGACAACCTGAGCCCAATCCCAGTGTCCACTACTCACACCCTGAGATCTGAACCATCCAACCAAACAATTAATCACAATCAAGCCACCCCTCCCACCGTCCCACCTCTTGCCTAGTCTTCCACCCCCATCTAGATCCCAGCACAACCCCCCTCTAATCAGTCCCTTTCTCTCATCCCTAATCCTCTTCGCAACACCCCACCCTCTCTCCCTGCTGATCAGGAACTATTCGAGAACAACTTTCAAGAGGAGATTTTTAATAACCTTTTCCGCATCTTTGCACAAGGTTAAGATGAAACTCTCAAAGGTTTTCTCCATAAGGCAGACCAGCCCAACCCACAACATGAACACTACCACTCAGAAGGAGAAACTTTTCCCAGAAAATGTCCCAAACCTGCCAACAAGGAACCAAACACATCAATCAGAACATTGGATTTAGAAACCAAAAGGAGATCAGCTAGGCTCCTAGAAAAGGCTTCTTCTCACAATTCTTTCTCCCTCCTTCAACAATGAATGTCCTCTTTTGGAATATTAGAGGCATAGCCTCAAATCTCCCAAGATTAAAATTCCTCATCACAGATTTACATATTCACTTTGTGGCTATCATTGAACCTAAATGCACTGGCAATAAACTCACCCAATTTCAGCTTGGACTGGGTTTTGACTCTGCTCTTCAACTCTGCAGCAATCAAATCTGGGCTTTCTGGAACTCAGACTCCTTGACACTGGAATCCTCTTTCTCATACACTCAGCTGGGCCACCTCACTTTCACAAGCAAAGCCCTGCAAACAAAACTTCATATTTCAACCATTTATGGAAAGCACACAAAGGAAGAAAGAAGGGACTTATGGCACTGCATCTCCACCCTCTCTGGATCTATTAATGAACCATGGCTCCTAGGAGGGGATTTCAATGCCTGGGAAAGATTTGGAGGAGATTAGACAGACTCTTCCTCAACTCCCACCTGGACAACCTTTACTGCCTAATCTCTTCTGAACACTTAGCCAAAGGTGGCTCTGATCACTCCCCAATCCTCCTCAAAATTACTAATGGTAATTTTAAGGGTCCTTTTCCCTTTAAATTCCTAAACTGTTGGACTGCCAACCCCTCTTTCCTCACTCTTATTAAAGACAATTGGGAACCCTACAGGGGAGGGGGAATGAGAGGTTTAATGGACAAGCTGGTGAATTTGAGGAAAGTCATTCAAGCCTGGAACAAAAATACCTTTGGGAACATCCTCAAGAACAGAACTAAGCAGGAGGATAAACTCAAACTAGCTGAAGAAGCCTACAATGACAACCCAACTCATGACAACAGCACCAGGATGCAACAAGCCAGATCAGATCTTAATAAATGCCTTGCCATAGAATATTCCTACTCGAAGCAAAAATCCAATCTGAAATGGGTAAAGGAGGGGGACCTAAACACCAAGTTTTTCCAAGCCTTTGTCAAAAACAAAAGAAACTTTCAAAGGATTCAAAAGAAACGCAGGGAGTTTCTACTCGTAATTCTCTTAGGAACACAATCAATCACATGGCCTTTGTTTCACAAATTGAACCAACAACCGTTTTGGATGCTATTAATGATGAACATTGGTCTATGGCAATGCAAGAGGAGCTTAACCAATCTAAACACAATGATGTTTGGGAATTGGTGCCTAGACCTAATGATCATTCCGTTATTGGCACAAAATGGGTGTTTCGTAACAAACTCGATGAAAATGGAATAATCACTAGAAACAAAGCTAGGCTTGTAGCTAAAGGCTACAATCAAGAAGAAGGCATTGATTATGAAGAAACTTATGCACCGGTTGCACGTTCAGAAGCTATTCGTTTATTGCTTGCTTTTGCATCTACAATGGATTTTAAACTTTATCAAATGGATATTAAAAGTGCCTTCCTTAATGGTATCATTCAAGAGGAAGTGTATGTCGAACAACCCCTGGGTTTCGAAGACCATGAGTTTCCCGAACATGTCTTCAAACTCAAAAAGGCGCTTTACGGTCTCAAACAAGCACCTCGTGCTTGGTATGAACGGTTAAGCAAATTTCTTTTGGACCATGAGTTCAAACGGGGTCAAGTCGACACTACTCTTTTTATCAAGAAAGATAACCAAGACATCCTTTTGGTTCAAGTTTACGTAGATGATATCATATTCGGTGCTACTAACGAGGTTTTGTGCAGGGATTTTTCCGATATGATGCAAAGTGAATTTGA